TCAGCAGGACAAAGCTGGAGGTGTGTGTCTCCCTTCACCTGCACACTCAGGTGTCCCCTCAGGGGGACCTGCAGAACTGAGGGACCAACTCCTGGGGTTCAAGGTAAACCAAGGGGTGGGGACAGTGACTTGGCAGGTGTTGGAAGTGCAAGACCAAGGTTCTTTGCACCCTCTCTGTGGACACCTGATGAAGCTGAGCACTGGCAAACTGCACCCAGGGCCTGGCCAAGCTTGGTCTAGACTGGGGGGGAGAGCAGGGAAAGTATCTGCTGGGCCTTTGGAGGTTGCTCCCCTAAGCTGGTGCCACCAGCCAGCCCAGGGCCAGACACTGGGTGGACTTTGGTCTCTGAACAACCAGTCTATGGTTGACTAATGAGGTCAAGGCACTTGAGCAGGAATCAGAAAAGCTCCCATTGCAAGGTCTGGAGAAGTGAGAGGTGTTCAACACTGACCCCTCCTCCTGAGGGCTGCCAGAGAAGCTGCTGCCACCCATTCTGCTCCCTCCAAAGTTCTTCTTCTGCCTGCCAGGATCTCTCAGTGCCCTTTTCCAGCACACACCAAACAGGGCTCCTCTGGCCACGCTCACCAGCAGGGTCCTGCTCCTGGGCCAGCCTGTCTTCTGGAGCTACTGGGGCTCCAGGGAAGAGGGAAGGTGTCCATCCTCAGGAGTCTGGAGCTCAGGACCATAAAGCAGCCACTCAACAAAGACCAGCACAGCTCCACACCACAACCAGCCAGGCAGCTTCGGCACGGCTGGTGGACACAGCTCCCAGCAGCTTCAGAACAACCCCTGGAGACCAAGTTCCCACAGAGGGACAGCTGGGAGAGGAGTCCTCTCCTGTGAAACACTGCAAGGAACGTGTCTTCACACCATCTTCAGCCAACATCCTGACCTTGCAGCACGGGCAGCCCTGGTGCTGGTGGCCCTGGCACAACCTTGAGAGGCTTTGAAGGGACAACCCCCCCCAACAAGCACCCAAGTACACCCCCTGATAGGAGACACTCTGTCTTCCCCATGCTCACAGCACATCTCCACAGGCTTCCAACCAGGCTGGGACCAGATGCTGATGCCTTTGCCAAACGTAGGACTCAAGCTCTGGGCTTCCAGCTCCAGGGGCGGGGGGGAAAAACCACCCCAACCAGGTCTGGGAATCTGCTCCTTTCCTCAGGAGGAAGGAGCTGCCTGGTGGGTGCTCTCCAAAGCCTCCTCCTCCCCAAGCAGAGGTGCTGCTGCTCTGCCAGCACCTCGGAGCAGCTCCCCATGCTGAGCAGCCCGGCCTCTTTGTTATATTTAAGGAAGGGCCAGGAGGAATTCCAGGGATTTTTTTTTTGCAAGATAAACAGAACTCTTGACCTCTTCCATCAGAAAAAAAAAAAAAAATCATGAAAGAGCAGGCAGCCTTCCTGGTGGGGACTGGGCTGGAGCCTGGGGAAGAGGGTGCTGCTGCTGAGGGGGAAGGGAGACCAGAACCAACTTGCCTTCCTCCCCAGGTTTCTCCCACCAAAGTGAAGGTCACCAGAGGAACCAACCAACCTGACCCCACCAGGAGAACCTGTGCCTGGCTTGGGGGGACAACCCATCTCTCTCTCTCTCTCTCTCTCTCCAGAAGTCCAATCCCCCCCAAGGCTGAGCTGTTCCCACTGGAGCAGAGGGCAGGGAAGGCACTTACAGCAGCAGGACGGGTCCATCTCTGCCTCCCGGGCTCCATCTCAGGGACACGTTCGGCTCCCCTGGCTCGGGGGGCAGGAGGAAGGGAGCAGCAGGTCCCACATCCCCAGGGCCCAGCCACCCCACTGGGTGGATTCCCACCTTGCCTGCCTTCCCCTTCCCTCCCTCTCTCCCCCCTTCTCCCCCCAGCAGAACAATAGGAGCAAGTCGAGGGATATTTACTGACTGATAAATCTGGGCAGGCTTTGCAGCCGCCCCGTTTTGTCCCCTCTGATAAAGGCTTCAGAGCCAACCCCGTGCCCAGAACACCAAGGGGGGCAGGAGGTTGGGTTTGGGCCTTAGGTTAGTGTGATTTTTCTTTCATCCTCCCCCCCCAAGCCCCCACCCCTCTGGTGCAGCACTTACCATTCACCTGCTGAGGGGAATAGGCTTCGGAGCCGGAGTCCGGGGGAGAGTCGGGTAAAGTGCTGTGGTGGGAAAGGGAACAGGGAATCAGCTGGAACCAGTGCCCAGCACAACCCGCAGCTCCAGGGTGGCTCCAGGCTCTGCCTGGAAACCCCTGCTGATCCCACAGCAGATCCTTGACACCCTGAGGTGAAAGGGTTGGGGCTGTTGTAGCTGTCACTGCCACCCAGCTCTGGTTTCCCAGACCCTGGGTCT